ATTTGATTATGATCGAATTTTGAGGGACGTTTCTTCAAAAGAAAATTTTGAAAAACACGGCTTATTCCGATTTTTGAGGTTTTAATGACGTTTTAAAACGTCACCCGTCCCGAAAGGGTTAACTAGATGAGATACAATTTGTCTTAACCTACAGTACATTTGATATCGTACTTTTTTCTTCCTCAAAGCCAATCCCAAAAATTTTGTTTCGTTTGTTTTTTGAAGTTCAGGCTTTGCTCTTTCTACCAGAAAACGAATGAACTTTCTGCGATGTTCCTGACCGGAGAACCATGGCTGGAGGTTTCGGCAATTACTTTTGCATCGCAGGTTAAGACAAATTGTATCTCATCTAATTAAAAGGGGGACATTTTCCAACTACTAATCTAGATGACAACTAGTCGTGCATCGCACGATTACAGACAAAATGTATTTAGATTTTTCCCATAGTTAATTTTGCTTGGATGCTCGAGATATAAACGAGTTATTCAACATACAGAGGATTATAAATTAAATACTACTCAATGAACTATATGAAATAAATTGATTATTCTATGTTGGTATCATGTAAAAAGGTGTGAAGAAGAAAATTGTCAAGTAATGACGAACAAAATACATTTTTTCTTTGTTCTTGCGTTAGCAAGATTTTACCACTAGGTGTTAATTTACTTTTATTCTTCATTTATAATAGTATTTTAGTATTTTAGTAATAGTATTTTATTTTACATCTCTAATTATCTTACTTCTAAGTAAGATAATTAGAGATGTAAAATTATGTGAATTAACACCAAAAAACCTGAGTATTAAAAGAAAAAAAATTGTGTGGACTCTGCACCGTATAACGTGTGTTCATGAATTGCTTGAGAGAAGCTTTTTCTAACTGAAAATCAGGACTGGCTTTTGTTGAAAAGAAAATATTGATACCTTGAAAGACGATTGACTTATTGACAAAACATCAGGTAGCGCACACATACGAATTTAAAAAAAATTTGTTAATCTAAAATATTATTTCGTATATGGAAATATTACTTCAGAATATGCATGAAGAAACTGATGTTTGTCTAAAAGAAGTTCAAGTTATTTACGGAAGAAACCCAGATCTGTTGACAAGAACTTCATGTTTTCCCTGATAGTAACGATGTGTGTCCACGAGGACTTCATTTTTTCTCTTGGAGAAGCCGAAGAACTTCATGTTTTCCAGTGCAGAACCAGATGTTTCACATCTATCGAGAGAAGAGGGTTCAATAAAAATTGTTCAGTATGTAACATAGTCATAAGCGATATTCTTAGCAATCAGTTAAATAAACGCATAAAATAGCTTTTTCTAACTAAAAATCAGGACTGGCTTTTGTTGAAAAGAAAATATTGATACCTTGAAAGACGATTGACTTATTATCAAAACATCAGGTAGCGCACACATACGAATTTAAAAAAAGTTTGTTAATCTAAAATATTATTTCGTATATGGAAATATTACTTCAGAATATAAACATAATGATGTTCATTTCTATTTCAAGCAGCCACCACTGTTTTCATGTTACTGTTTTCACTAATGCTTATACCTTGTATAAACATTAGTCTGATAGCCTATGTACCATCTGTTTATGAGATTCCTGGAACTCAGGTTTGGCCGATAGGTGAGTTTCCGGGGATTGCCTCTAGCATCCGAAGTATGATAGATGGGGTTGTGAGACGTGTGCCGGATTGTAGAGCGACGTCTGCGCTGTATCCACATGTGGTCAGAGGAATATCTCGCTATGAGGAGTTTTGGGATAACAGGCTGTGACTTTTGCTTCTACAGGTACACCATGGTCGAGCTGTCAGATAAGAGTGTTATGAGAGCGTTATTCAAAAAACATCCGACTGCTCTATATTTTGAAATGGATAGTATTAATCCGTTTTCTCTCAAAACAGGTTTTTGAAAATCTTTTTCTTCTGCTTTTCGGACTGTAAGTTATAGCTGAAATAAACAACTTTCAATGTATGTGTTAATATGAGGCACCTTCAAAATTATATAAGATACTCCATGATCATCACTTTCGTTCTTTCGTTGTATACTTTTCTCTTATAGCATGATAAATCATGCAATATTAGTAATGATTAACGATTTTGTTTGATCCATGTTATTCAATCATGCTGGTCGACCGTTAGCCATTTTTCATGAGCGGTTTTAGTGAATTACAACATTGAAAAAGACAACAAGATAGTTTTTATTCATACCTTAATCAAACCCATTCGACAACATCATACAAATTACCGGAAACATCATAGATGCGCAAAATGTTAGAAACAATTATTGTTTCATTAGTAAGCCTTTTTATTCTGCTACACGTTAGTCAACAGCAGCAATCATTAATACGGCAAGCTTATTTTAAAATCATACCAAATAGTGAATATTATTCCACTAATTTTATCAAAACTCTTTCATCTGTCTCGGATATACTCGAATGCACAACGAAATGTTTTTCTTATTCATCTTGTCAAACTGTTGTATATTATCCCAATGAACTAATATGTTCGTTGTACAGTGATTCCCTAGATGATGGAACAATTTCATTTGCAATAAATGTTCAAACCATTTATTTATCAATCGAGACAATGAAAACAAGCTCCACCGATCCAACAATAGCGCTGACAAGTGGTTTGTATCAACTCAGTTTGCTAATAGCGACTAATACTGTCCATTAAAATACGTTTTAGCCACTACTGAAACAACAGTCGCGATGACATCTGATGCTCCATCAAGTGCAATAACAACAACGAGCGCTTTTGTATCTACTACATCAACAATATCGACAGGTACTATAAATATGCATATAGTAGTTAGAACGCAAGTTCATGTACAAGTCAACAAAATTCTACATTATAATATGAACTCATCTCGATAGTTTGCTTGTTTTGGGGATATGAAGACATTTAAAATAGGAAAATTTTTGTGACCTTTGAATCGTGTTCTTATCTCATACCTACCTTTCCTGTTTTTCAGTCATTTCCACAGCAACCACAACCAATGCTTTATCAGGTGTAATAACAACAACGAACGCTTTTACATCTGCTACATCAACAGGTACTATAAATATGCATATAGCAGTTAGATCACATAGTGGGTATATAGGTGGACATTTGGCCAAAAAGCAAAAGTGAACTGTTTTTGGGATTTGAATAGAGTCAAAAGTACTTCGTTAAATGCGCTATCGAATGGCGCAAAAATTATTATTCTAAAACCTTTCGTTACCGAAATATTTGTATATTATCTCATACCTACCTTTCCTGTTTTTCAGTTATTTCCACAGCAACAAGAACCAATGCTCCATCTAGTGTAATAATAACAACAACCAATGCTCCATCTAGTGCATTAACAACAACTAGAGGTATAATAAAATACGTATTTTGTTCTTATAATGTCAAAATTCACTTCTTTATTTTGAAAAAAGATTTGAATCCAAATGCATCAAATATAACATGGTTAATGTCAACAATTAAAGCAGCAAATCAAACAACAATAAACTTATCTGGTCCAACATTTATGGATATTGATGATCAAAATAATTTTGTTGTACTTAGCTATTATGGTAATCTTGTTCAAATGAATAGAACAACAATGAGCGTCATTCGTTCAATAAAGTTAGGAAATGATTCAGCTGCATTTACTTATTTTAATGGTTATTATTTTATAGGTATAAAAGTAAACAGGAACGCTTTTGTCATTTTGTTTCTTATGCGCTTTATTTGTAGAATTCGAGAGTTCATATCCTTTAATTTACATTTATTCTACTCGAAATCTAACAAATTTTATTGCATTTATAAATGGTACAGCATCGAATTGTTATTTTCGTCAAGTGGCATTTTTACAAAATAATACCATTATGGTTGCAACTGTTGAAAACTTAAATATGATTCAATTTTATCAAATATCGTTTTCATCGTTTTCAACAACACTTTTATTTTCAATACCAGCATTGCACACTTCTCCATACAGTTTATATAAAGTGAACGATACATTCTTGTATTTAGTATATTACACTAGTGCAACACCCAACTACATTCTGTCATATAACAATAGTAATAATTGGACATTAAGAGCACTGAACGCCACAAAACCAGCAGCTTCGGAAATATCGGCACAAATGACAATTGATTCATATGGACGAATTTGGTTGGCTATCCATAACTTTGGTGTGAGAGTATTTGATTCCACTGCATCCGTCTTACTCTATAGTTGGCCCATCTCAACTGGATTGTGTGGGATACTGTTAATGGATAATTACGAGTTGTTTTTCTCTGACTATGACAACAACAAAACATATCATTATAAACCAAACATAAACTAGTAGTAAATAACACTTATGTAAATAAAATGAATCATGAGTATGGTTTGTTTCGTGTTCAGTGAAGATCAAAATTGAAGACCAAGCAATTTTAACTTATTTAGTACAAGATCAGTCGATACACGATCGAACCAGGACTTGCCTTATTTAAGCTGCTAAAAAGAAAGTGAGTAACTCTTAGTAAAGTATTTGACGTTGAGGAAGACGGTGTAAACCCAAACTGGATAGCGCTTAGCAACCTATTGTCGAGAAGAAAAGATAACAGCTGTTTATGAATAATCTTCTCAAGGATGTTACTTGCAATGATACATGAATTTTCGAATATAGGATGTTTTGTCCTTTCCAATATGTGACTTGCTGAATTGTATAATTTATGGCATTTACGAACTTTTGAGTTTATGAACGCCTGAGTTCTGGAATGTATAGAATTTACGAACTTTCAGATTTATGAGCTTCTGAATTTTGGAATTTATAGAGTTTAGAGAATTCATAGAATTTAAATTATTAATAGAATTGGGATTTTTAGAATTAAGAAACTTTCGCATTTATGACCTTATGATTTTATAGAATTTACTGACTTTACGAAATTTTGAGTCTGTGAACTTCTGAATTTCCGAAATTATGAACCTTTTTAGCAATTTACAGAATTCACGAACTTTTGAGTTTACGAACTTGTGAATTTTGGAACTCATAGAACCTGCCAACTTTCGAATATGTGAACTCCTGAATTTTGGAATTTATGGAATTTCCGAGCTTTCACATTTATGAACTTCTGAATAATGGAATTTATAGAATTTAGCAACTGTCGAATATATGAATTTTCGAAAATAGGATGTTCTGAATTTTGGAATTTACGAACTTTCGAATTTATGAACTTAAAAATTTTGGAATTTATAGAATTTACGAATATATGATGCTCTGCATTTTGGAATTTAGAGAACTTATTAGTTTACGAAGTTCTGAATTTTGGAATTCATGGCATTCCCGAACTTGCGAACCTTCGAATATGTAAACTGCTGCATTTTCGAATTTACGGACCGTACGAACGTTTGAGTTTACGAACGTCTGGATTTTTTGGAATTTTGGAATTTATGAACTTTCGAATATATGAAGTTCTGAATTTTGGAGTTTCTAGAACTTGCGAACTTCCGAATATATGACGTTTCGAATATATGAACTTCTGAACTTTGGAATTTAAAGAATTTCCGAACTTCCGAATCTATGAATTTTCCAATATATCACTTATATCACTATATATTCGTAAACTCCATAAATTCCATAATTCGGCAGTTCACATACTCGAAAGTTCGTAAATTCGATAAATTCCGAAATTCAGAATTTCATAAATTCGAAACTTCATAAATTCCATATATTCCAAGATTGAGCAGTTCACATATTCGAAAGTTCATAAATTCCATAAATTCAGAAATTGAGCAGTTTACATGTTCGAAAGTTCGTAAATTCCGTAAATTTCAAAATTCAGCAGTTCATATATTGGACAGTTCGTGCATTCTATAGTTCAAACTTCAGAAGTTCAAATATTCGAAAGTTCGGCAGTTGTATAAATTCCAAAATTCAGAACTTTTTTAATTCGAAAGTTCCTGAATTCCACAAATTCCAAAATTCAGAAGTTCACATAATCGCAAGTTCGCAAATTCTATAAATTCTAAAAATCAGCAGTTCATGAATGCAAAAGTTCGGAAATTTCATAAATTCCGAAATTCAGCAGTCCACATATTGGAAAGTTCTTAATTTCTATACATTCCAAAATGAGAAGTTCACAAATTCGAAACATCGTAAATTCTACAAATTCCAAAATTCAGCAGTCCACATATTCGCAGGTTCGGAAGTTCTATAAATTCCAAAATTCAGAAGTTCATAAATGCGAATCTTCGTTAAGTCCATAAATTCCATAATTCGACAGTTAACATATTGGAAACTTCGTAAATTCTATAAATTCTAAAATGAGAAGTTCATAGATTCGAAAGTTCGTTAGTTCTTTAAATTCCAAAGTCCATCCAGACCATCGACCTGGATAAGCATGAAGAAGGATTTTTAGCAACATTGATAAATAATATAACATCGAGTCTGATGAAAATCCTTCTTCATGCTTATTCAGGTCGATAGTCTAGTTTTATAATAGGAAATTAATGCTTTCAATAATGGATGTTTAACTATTAATTCGTTTAATGATAACGGACTTTCATTTCGGTTTTGTTCGTTATTTATTTTTTAATTTTAATATAAACTTACAATTTCTAAACATCTGTTAATTACCATACTTGTAAATGTAATTGAAGAAAGTAAATTTCGAATAGATCATTTATTGAAACATACAAGTATAATTGATTGTTATTATGGATTTATATCGGAAGACTGTACTGGTATTATAGAGAAAGTCTTGTTTACTGCCGTATTCACGAAACTTTTTTCTACCGACAAATGTAAAGAATCTGAGATTTATACAATCGAACAATGCAAATGAGTCGACCTAAATCAGTGGTGAAGATGTGCCGAACAAATTGTTATCTTGCACAATAAACAAGATTTCTTAAGATATTGATAAAAAATCTAAAAGAAAACCTACACCTGTGAGAATTTTCTATAAAATACGGAAAGATTTAGTTCATATAGTTAATAGTGAAGGATTAGAAAATTTCAAGGTTTTTCAAAAGAATCAGTTTCATCTTTAAAATAACTATAAGACTTTTCTGAAGAAATAATGCCATAATAAGTGCACGAAAAAGTGATCTCTTTCTGCGAAAATTTACATCGTTTGACTCGACAGACTGTTCTGGGTATTTCTATATAATCTTTTGAAAGTTTTATTGAACATTGTAAGCAAAAAAGCTTTTTTTCCACGTTTAGAAACGGCTTCAAAAAGTGGATGAAGGGACAAAAAAGACTTTTCTTGTGTAGTTGTGTTTTTAAATATCGCCACTGATTCGGTTCACCTCAAATATAAAAGTAGTCGCTAGCTATGTCCACACGTTATTTGAACAAAAACAAAATGTGTATCAAATAAAAAAGATTTCTCTTCTGTTGTATAAAGAATTACATAGTCTACACAAAACAGAAAAGTATTATATCGCGTAAATAGGATATTGTGTGATAAAACATGTGCGAAGAGAAAAACTATATTTTTGGTTTCAGTGAAGACACGCCTATATACGTCACAAAAATTTGAATAAGTTGAATGATAACTGAGAGTAATTGAAGATTTTATATGTATGAAATCGTCACCGCTAATATGACTTCTATAAAATCCGCACAATTTACAAAGTAGTGGAAGTTTTGTCTATCTATCCATTTCAAAATAGAGCGTATTTTTTTGAATAACTCCAGAATAAAGACAAGAGACCTGTAGTTTTCAGCTTTTTGCAGAGAAGGCTTTACTGCACCTTTTGATATATAGGTGATGTTTGACATGTGACAAATGTTTGAGTGTGTACTTATGTGCTATGAACGTTGCTGCAGATGCTGCCAATAAAGAGTTTTCCTTGAAAGGGAGGCTTCCTATTATTTTATCCTATTTATGGATAGGAATTCAACTAATAGAAGCGTCAAAAGCTCTCAAAGTCTCATATCAATCGGTACTATAGACAATAGAAATGACAACAGAATACAAAATAAGAATCTGTCTTAGTAAATGACTGATACAGCAAACTAAGTTACGTTGTATTCTGTAAAAGTAAGCATTCGACTCATATCAGAATTATAACACCCCTCAGGAATACAGAAATATAAGAATACAGGAAAACAGGAACAGAGTAATGCAGGTATACATACTTTACTTAGCAACGTTTTCTTGTGTTTTGATTTCGTTTCTGTTCTTTGGTTTAAGTTTTAATCTTGAACCAGAACGAAATCGAAAATATAAATTCCTATTATATGATTCTGAAACTTAAACTATCAAAACACAAAATCAATCCTTGCACGAAGCTAGAATCGAACACATGAACTTGATCTTTGCAGAAAAACTGCAAAAAGCAACTGAAACTGCAAGAGTCAACTAAATCGCTCTTTTCTGAGGTTCTTCAACATATTCTTTATAACAAGGACCCGAATGACGCTAGCTTTTACTACGAGATGTATGAACCCTCTTTTTGGAATTAATTTGAGAGAAATGCTGAAAACTAATCAATATTTTTCTATTTTTGGATGTGAGCCAGTACAGTTTGGTCAGTGTGCATGAAAACGGGGGCTTTTTTATATGAAGTTCTGAGTCTGCTGTAAGAAAATAGGCTCTTATATAGCTTTTGTAATGGCTATGAAGTTACCATTACGAAGAGTTCGACCTTGAGACCTACTCCGGCAACCTTTTTTTGGCTTTTTTCTATTCGACTAGTGATATATTGCACCAACCTCTCAGTTACGCACAGTGGGCCATTTGGCTAGAGCAGGTAGACATGTGCTGTTAATTCAATAATAACTTTTGATAGACAAGAGCTAGAGAGCTCTGGTTTTCGCCATTCGAAAGAGGAAACTTGAAAGTATGTTTTCATAACCAATATTATTTTCAGACGGGTTGTCTGAAACAGGTTTTCTGGGAGATCTTTGAAAAACAACGCCGTCTGTAAACATTTTTCAATAGGATTGTACTGATTTTTTCCATGCACTGATAGACCGGAATGTTCTCTTCAAAATGGGAGTAAAGTGAGACCTTTATTTTCGACGATCCAGGCGTTGAATCGGATTTCCTACGAGCCCCAGGATTGGCATCCGGTGACTATTGGTAGCCTTGAAGACGGATGAAATATGGGTAATCGAACATGCTTAGCCTTCAGGCAGTGTTCGTTTTTAGAAAAGTACTAAATATTTACCGAAAAGCGAATTTTACGAAAATTTGCGATTTCAGGCTGTTCTCATCAAATATTAAAAAGTTCACTATTCACTCAATAAACATCAGAACGAGTTCAAAATTTCAAAATTTCAGAACATCTATCACTCACCTTTGGTAAATATGTGCAGTTACCTGCATCCACATTAGATGTAGTAGATGTTGACGAACATTTTGAACTAATTTTGAGCTATCAACGGAGGTGGATG